AATATATCTTTAATGCTCTCAGAGAGAGGAAGGGAGAGGAGGGGAGAGAGAAACGTCAGTGATGAGAGTCCTTGACCGGCTGCCTCCTGCACGCCCCCCGGGATCGAGCCCGCAGCCCGGGCCTGGGCCCCGAGCAGGAACCCAGCCGCAGCCTCCTGGATCCTAGGTCGACGCTCAGCCGCTGAGCCGCGCTGGCCGGGCGAGATGCTCTCCTTTTATAATGTGCATGTTGTTTGGTTATTAAGAATTTAAATTAAATGTCATCAGATTTGATCAAGAAACTAACAGTTATGCAGCAAGACTAAGGTTTTAGCGTTTGTTGTGTTTTTGTTTCACTCTCCAGGAAATGGAGAAGTCTGATGCCAACAACTTCCTGATCCTGTTCCGGGACTCAGGCTGCCAGTTCAGGTCTCTCTACACTTACTGCCCCGAGACGGAAGACATCAGCAAACTGACGGGGATCGGCCCCAAGTCCATCACGAAGAAGATGATTGAGGGGCTTTACAAGTACAATTCCGACAGGAAGCAGTTCAGCCACATTCCTGCCAAGACTCTGTCTGCCAGCGTGGACGCCATCACCATCCACAGCCACCTGTGGCAGAGCAAGAGGCCGGTGACGCCCAAGAAGCTGCTGCCCACGAAGGCGTAGGGGCCAGAGTTCTTGCGCCAGACACGCGGCGCGTCCACCCGCCCCTCCTGCCCGGAGGGCACCTTTCTGGGCACCAGCAGGACCTGTGCTTGTTGAACTGGGCTCCGCCCTGGTGTTGGCGCCTGGGTGTGAACTGCAGTGTTTGGGGGGCGGGTTCTCCTGAGCCGGTGAGTGCAGGTGGCGGAAGCAATGGCGAGGCTGTCGCGGGGTCACCGGCGGGAGGCCGGGCGCGCGGGGCACTGGCTCACACACTACTGGGCGTAAGGGGGAAAGAGGTGAGGTTACAGATTATGGGCTTATGTGTCGCTTTCAAAAAACTTTCCATGTATGTGCTTGTCTTCAAATGGTTTATTTTGATACTTTTCTCTCCATGGGGGTTTGTTCCCAGATACCTTCGTGTTTGTCTCACGTGGAGGTCACGCGAGGAGGAGGCGCCTGCTCAGGCGCCGCACCTGCCGTGATGCTCAGAGGACACTAGTGTTAGTGGGGGACCCTCGTGTTTCCCTGGCGGGGAGCCTTGGACTGCGTACGCTAAGTATTAAACCCTGTATTTATTACTCATTAAGTATTAACATTTCCGATGAACCACGGGGAGGTGTCGTCAGGAGCTGCTGGGAGGTTGGCTTTGCCACGCAGGCTCAGCCAGGGCCGTGCAAGGAAATTACTGACCGAGTCAGTGTTTTGTGCCGCTCGGGCCAGCTCAGCGGCTCTGTCCCGGGAGGAGCTGCCCCTGGCCCGGGCGGGGGCGTGGCGCTCAGCCTCATCCTGGCGCGGGGGTGTCCTGCCGGGTTCTCGGCTTCTTTACTTATTTTATTTATAACTGACATCAAAACTATATTTAGAATTTTAAACATGTGTAAAGGGCTACATTTTAATTTTAAAATAGCTTCCCGTGGCTTTACCTGTATTGTTTTCCTTCCTGTCCTGTCCGAGAGGAACAGCTCAGATGGAGCGCGCGTGAAATCCGCGTGGCCGCCTCCTCGTGGGTGCGGAGGGCTCGTGGGGAACCCTCATTCTCAGGAAGACGCGAACGAGCGCGTGGCCCGTCGGTGCCGGTGACGGCCGCGAGCCCGGGCGGCGGCGTGTCCTGGCGAGTGGGGGTAGCCAGTGTCTCCGTGGCGTGCTTACCTAGGAGAGCGGGAGGGGGTGTCCCGGGGTGGCCCTGCTCCCGCAGGGCCCGAGGCACCGCGTCTGGGCCGCCGACGTCCTCAGTGCTGTCGAGACTGTACTGTAACTTATGTTCGTATATTTATGTATATTTGTTAAAACTGTAAAGATTTTCACCGATTTTTTCCGAAACCCGTGCGAGACGTGTGTGTAGCCCGAACTGCTCGTGACCTGCTGTCTGCATGTGGGGGCCGCGAGCGCCCTGCTGGGTCTGCGTCGTGTGCCCGCCCTGAGGTCGGGGGCCCTGCGCCTGCGGCGCTCGGTCCC